AGGTGGGCGAAGCCGTCGGTTCGACTACAGCTCCCGGCGCACTTGCGCATGCACGACGTATTCCACGTCTCTAAACTCAAAGCCTACAAGGCTGGCAGCAACGCGCCACCCCCACCTGCGATTCCCGCAGCTGAGGGCGAACCCTTGTGGTACGTGGACGAGATCCACGCCCACCGGCAGTCTCGCAGCAGGCGCCGCATCACCACGGAGTACCTCGTCAGGTGGCACAAACTGGGCCCCGAGTACGACTCCTGGGAGTCCGCAAAGGACTGCAACCAAGGATGCCCAGAGGCAATCCGCGCTTACCATGGAAAACTGTACGCAAAAGGCGTACCGCTACCCTAATTATCCACCTCACTCAAGGCGCCCCGAGGACGGGTTCGCATTCAAGAGGGGGGGAATGTAACGCCGCTAAGGCGGCCCTTGGCTCACCGGGCCAACGGTATCGTACCAACGGTACATCCAAGAACTATTCATAATCTTCCAATACCAAACGGTATTTATCAATACCACCTTTATCGTTGGATAATTTCCTTTTTCGCAACTGCTTGCCAACTGCAAGCTTTGTTACACGGGCCCGGCCGGCCCTAAGGAGAATCTACGAAAATTTACGACCAGCCAATGGAAAGACCCTCTTTACAATAACTTAATTGATCCTTGCGTAAACTTCAGTCATCACCTATTGTGGGAATTGTCCAGTTTTTACAAGGTTATTCTGTGAAATGATTCCTCGTCCGCTGTGGTTCACGACATCACGACGGCTTCTTGGAGCGAGCTGCAGTGGCACAGCATATGGCTCACAAGCCCGCTGCACTTCCCGGTTTCCTCTTCGATGCCGGAGAATCCGCCGAGCTCATGACGTTAATGTATGCGCATCATCTCGATCGTCTGAATTACCTGAGTCCGCTGGATGGAAACAGATCCGACATGTTGGATTTTCAAGCTTGAGAACCTGGATGGACTTCTGTGAGAAGATGGGCGTTTCCAAAGATTTCCCCAATGGTTTAAAAGGAATGACCAGCACATTTCCTCCCCCGACTTCACAAGAGCTTGATGTTGCTGTTTTAACGTTCCTTGTGGAGTTCCTCAGCAAGCCAATTGCTTTGTTTGATGAACGCGTTCTGCATCCAACCGGTCGGGAGAGGCCCCTTTACCTCCTGATCTATTCTGTCCTGTCCCAACTGGCACTGCTGAATTTTGGCCAACGATCTCTGGTTATCTCCGAAGGTGTGGACCTGTTGATCGTCGCCTTGAATGCGCACTCCAGTGCTTTCAACATAGTTCAACCCATCCTCAGGTCCTGATGATCCATGGGTCGACATGAACCAGGAAGCCCCAGAAGATGAGCAGCAACAGGAGTCCAGAAATGTGGAGCATGGTGAGTGGCGCCTGCATGCATTACCCAAGCGAATTACCCAGGAATACCCAGGAATACCCAGGAATTACCCAAGCGCCCAGGAGGAACAGTTTAGGGTGAGTTGTACACCATACTTAGTAATTGCAAAAGGTCCATATGCAAAAGTGTTGTATCACAACCCTTGGAAACGTACTAGTACTGATTGGTGGATGTCATAGCCCTGATGTTACATCCAGGATACAGCAAACACATGTCAAAGAACAATTGTGCAGTTTGCTCAGCTGTGCAGGATGATACTGTGGTTGCCAGGTGCATGATTTTCGTGAGTCGGTCTACCATGACCAAAATGGCATCAAATCCCCATCAGTTTTGGGCAAAGCTACAACAAAGTCCATGGTAACACACACCCAAGGGGTGGTCAGCACAGGCAAGGGACACAGAAGGCTGTAAGGCTTCTTAAGTATGATAATGAGCAAGTTGAAGTCCTTGGAACAAAGAGGGGGAAAACCAAATGGTGTGCCCAAAAAAGCTGATAGAGGTTAGGCATCATGGGACAGCAAATAAATTACGTCCTCTGGTTGGCGTGAGTGAGGGAATGAGGCGCGCGCGGAGGAACAGACGGATGTAGAGCCGCGCGCCCGTCCCTGCGCTGTGTTTGTACCCAAGTAAACTGATCTATCAATTTTTCTGGATCTCTGTTAATAGTGCCAAATGAGTGCTATGAAGTTCTTGTCAGAGCTTGCAGAAGGAAGCAGCAGCTCAGAACCTGCAGTAGCTTTAATGCTAGGAACCCATATCCTAGCACAGAATAGCAACTGATATTTCTGAAAAATTAGACCTGTTTGGGACCACTTTTAACAAGCAGTATATAACAAAAGCTGCAACTGTTCTAGTACTCATGGTTAATGGAATGAGGGCCCTCCTCCACATCACCAGGCACAAGCCCAGAGCATGCTAAACCCTAAGCAGGAGGTAAACCTTAAGTGCTCATGCTCTAATCACACGGTGTCCTGCTGTCAATCCTACACATAATCTCGGTGGCAAAAGCTTTATTTTTGTTAACTGAATAACATGTTTTGATTCCTTTGCATGCACCCTGTTACCCCTGTCAGACAGGGGCTAGGAAACCCTCTGGTTATTGGCATGCTTTATCTTGGAGTCCATAGTAAGCTGCTAACAAGCTTATCATACATCATTTTACCCCTGGGATGTAATGCAGGTCGTTCTGAGTTTGTTGTCCTCCGTGTACCCCCTCAAGTGAAGTATTTAGAGGATTATAACCTGGTGGAAGCTATTAATAAGGTGGCAAGACAGTGTTGGTGGTGGAACTGAAGAGTAGGGTTAATATCAAGTATGACATATGGCAGCCCCTTGCAACAGCTCTAGAGCTGGCAATTCAGAATGAGACGGATCCAGTGACGCTGCTGCTCACAGATGCTTCAGACTGGTATTTTGCTACTTGTAACACAGCAAAGGCGTAACCCGGGATGCTCAGATTGGCATTTGCGTCGTTACATTGCCCCCCACTTAGCAATGGACGTCCTCGGCCATTATTTCGAGCACAGGAGCCATCCCACCTCGCGCCAGTGCGCTGGTTTATCCATTACACCATGAAATCGCCAATTTGCGACTTGCTGGTTGCCAGAATCGAACCGCCGACCCGAAGTTTATTTCGGAATTCGTGCGGTCCCGTCTCGATACCATTGTAACACAGCAAAGGCGTAACCCGGGATGCTCAGATTGGCATTTGCGTCGTTACACTACTGTGCAGCTGGTCCAAAAGAATGATAATAAAGGACCCCCCCTGCCCAAGGGCAACTCCCAGGCACATGGTTACCAGTTCCAGGCATGTGGTCATCAGTTCTGCCTCTTCGATTGGGTGCAGTTCGAATGTGACCTCCTGTCAACATCCAATGGACATTCTTCATCAGTTGTGCCTGAGGTAAGGCCTACCTTTGGAGGGTGGTTCTCTTGCAGATAAGGGCCTTGGTGCATAGTGTGAGTGGCTAGATGTTGTGTCATCACTATGTCTTCCTGGGGGCTTTTAGGAGGCACATTTTGTGAAGGCAGAAGCTGCATTTCATGGATGTGTCCTGACAAGTTTGGTATTCATTTGGTTGCATAGACAGAATAAGTAATTTGAAGTTTTACAGAGTTGGCTAGTCTATTATTCGTACGTTACTGTGTACACTTGATGAATTCATAAAATGTACACTGAAGTATACATCCAGCATCTTAGAGGTCTTTTTAGCAGTCAGCTACTACACGTTTGCAGGTAGATAATGCTCCCCGAACATCCCTTTGTCTTGCAGATTTTCGCCCATATGCACAATGTGCTGTACCCTGGTGAAGACATCACCCAGGTTGCAGATCGGGCAAAGCTGGGCAGTGCGAAACTTCAAACTCTGGCAGACAAGTGGGTGAAGCATGTAATCACAGGCGTGGTTAGAAGACGAAAGGTGAAGGTCCTGAAGCAGATGCTGGCGGAAAGGGAGCAGAGGGAGAAGGAAAATATGCAGAAGCTGAAGGAAAATATGGAGGAGCTGGAGGCAGAGAAGAAGGCGGCACAGGAGATTGAGGCAGAGAAGAAGAAGGTGGCACAGGAGATTGAAGCAGAGAAGAAGAAGGCGGCACAGGAGATTGAGGCAGAGAAGAAGAAGGCGGCACAGGAGATTGAGGCAGAGAAGAAGAAGGCGGCACAGGAGATTGAGGCAGAGAAGAAGAAGGCAGCACAGGAGATTGAGGCAGAGAAGAAGAAGGCGGCACAGGAGATTGAGGCCCTCAAAAGGCAGCTGCAAAAGCAGCAGCAGCAAGGCCAGTAATGGAGATGGTGGTGTATGAAAGCCACCTTCCCACGAATACTCAGCTGCTGGACGAGGCACTGTTGTGCTTCCCCAATCTATGTGCGTTTTTGTAATTGGTGGGGCAGCCCCACCTAAGCAGGTGCATTTGCATGCCATGTTGAAAATCTGGCTTGTTGCTCCGATTCCATTCAAGTGGCCAAACTTGCAGCCCTAATCACTATAGATATATGTGTGTTTCTGCATCTGTCTGGGTGGCTGTTTTTGCTGTTATAAGATGTTTTTTCCTGGGGAGACCCCCGAATTAGTCGGGAGCGCGAGATTATGGCTAGCTGCTGAGATGTGCAGTTGAGGTCACAGTTGATGGACCAGTTCGTGTACGCTGGATTGGTGGCGATTGCCGAACCCTCTGTCTCTTCGGTTGTTCGGGTGAATGGATGAGGAGGGGTCCTTGAAGGCTGGATGCGCCGCCTTGGATTTACAGTTCGTATGGCGTAGTACAGTGTGGTAGTTGTGGATGGTGCTATAAGGTGATAAATCCTAGAACTGACAATGTGATAAAGCGGCCCAGAAGCCTCCCACTCTGTATCATTACATTACATACTTCAACGATTTCTTGAAGAATTCAAGTTAAAAGCTAAACATATAGAACAGCTAAAACCAAGATTCTAAGTCAGTATCTCGTAGCTGCCCAATTTTAAAATCGTCTTTTACAGTAAGTATAATAGTGTTATCACCATTTTTTATCGATTGAAAATCTTACCACTACTTGAAATCAATTCTTGAATTAGGGTCTACAATATTATTCTGCAAGATCATAATGCATCGCCAAATTATTATAAGCTTTTTGCTTCGGAGATAATTTTCTCAAAAAATTTCTTCAGCAAAATATATAGATACACTAACAAGAGGCAGGCGGCTGGCAGAGGTTAAGGCCTGACTTCTGCTCCCGGCGCGTCCGGTTTCAAGTCCGCCTGCCGACCGCTCGGGGTGTTTGAGAGGTGGTGAAATGGGAGGTGGCCCCCCATCTTGTGGACGGTGTAGGACGTGATAAAATCAACTTGCGAGCTGACCAGGAACTGAGTTGACGCGCCGTTGATCCGCTAGATTTGGTTGGATGCCGGTGGTGAGTTGCCAAACTCAAAGAGTACACTCTGAAGTCGGATGGGGTGAATGGATTAGGGTGCCCCTCTAGCAGGGGAGAGCAGGGAACTGCCTCGGGAAGGAGGCCACTGGTGAAGCTTAACAACCCTGTAACAACATCAACAAGAGAGAGTCCAAAGCTGGCTGCAGTGAATAAAACCGGTTTAAGGTTGGGTAAGCAACTGAAAATCCACCCCATAGCCATGTAACAATACTTTCACCGATAAGCGGTATAGCAGAAAACAGGTTAGTGATCACCGTTGCTCCCCAATAGCTCATCTGTCCCCAAGGTAAAACATATCCCAAGAAAGCCGTAGCAACTCCGAGTTTCAATACCTCTTATAAGACCCTTTTTTCTTCTACCAACTAACTGCAATTTTGCGAACATTACGGAATTCTCTAGTTCAAATACCCTTTCCTCAAAAATTCTTTACTGGAACTTCCTGCTTCTCTTACAGATTCGGGACCAGAAAAATAAATAACCGAATTTAAGTGCGACCATAGCCCCTTGAAGGTCCCGGAATCGAGACTCGGTGGCACAAGATGAAATTTCCGTCTAAAGGATGCAGATGATAATGACAGGAAATGGGCTGGTGCGGAAGCCGAGCAATCGCTTAAAAAGATGGCTGGGGTGACTGAAGGGTACCCCTAAATACAAGTCTACCTATTATTAACACTAACGTTTGGCAGGTGATACATGCTTGACGCTGTAGTTAATCCTGCCAGATTCTTCTTCAAAACTGTTCAGAACTGTGGCTGCTTCTGTACTCATCATATGCTTCTCATTTTTCTCGCGCTTGAGCCACCTATGGCCCTATGGCTCCTTGTTCCTACCCTAATCCCAAAGCGCGACATGATAACCTTCTCTCTTCCGTCCCTCTCCTCCCCCTTGCCCTCTTTCCCTCCCTCCCTCGGTGCACAGCTCCCAGTGCAATCTGATGGTATACGCAGCAGGCAACTACAGCGTCTAAGTCATTATGTTGTAGCTGCCCAATTTTAAAATCGTCTTTTACAGTAAGTATAATAGTGTTATCACCAATTTTTATCGATTGAAAAGGGCCGGTGGTGGTGACACTGCTACGAGTCAGCATGGCCTCATCCCGTCCAGAATAGAGCACGAGTCGGAATGCAAAGCCGTCCAGCAGCACGTCAACGGCCTCCTCACTCGCGATGGTGTGGTGTCCGTACGATGACGCCAGTGCACTGGCGAGCTGCAACCCCAGGGAGGCCTTCATCTTGCGAAAAGCTGTCGTGTCGTCCGGCCAGCGACCTGCTGGGTTTTGTTCACAGCACGGCACGGATATATTATATATAAAGAAACAAGTTATTGAAGTGCGCTAAACTCAGAATCTGGGTAGGATTTCTACATGGCAGGAGACGCAAATCGCCTTCGTGGAGGTGACAGGTTACAGTGCACAGATTGTGCGCATGTTGCTGTGTGCAACCAAACGGACGGCTCATAGATTGTTCACCATAACGACCACAAACTGGCGCCCTTGTGAGAGGAGCTCTGCCAGGTCTCGTCAGGCATAAAGTTTTAATCATTGCCGTTTTTATTCATGTTTAGCAACACATCCCCACACACAACAACTTCTCCAAGTTCTCAAGTGTGGCACATCTGTGGTTACTCAAGACTCTCGAGGGTACGGACCTGAGCTCTCCAGCGTCACCAGCACCTCCAGTGGGTCTAGGCAGCGGGGAATGACGCCCGCTGTGGACGCCGAAGCCCCAGAGGGTGCGGCGGCGGCGGTAAGGGCGCCGTCCCGTGGGCAACCCCCGACAGCGGCTGCATACCCACCACCTGCACCACCACATGCGGGGAGATTATTAACTGTTAAGTTTACAGATTTTCGGTATCGTCATAATCTTTCAAGTGGTTGTGCAAAACGATTCTCCTTTAAATTTCATGCAGATACACAGAGCGCAGCGGGAGATCTCACAACAGTTTAGGATAATTGCACACATAAGTATCAGGACGCATGAAGTAATACCCAAATACAATAATATATACATCCACGGATATCCCACACATACATATAAAGAACCCCAAATCCTGAGCAAACGAGGCTGTCCATTCGCACCTTGAGCGCCAAGTTATCCAACGCTCGGAGCTGTTTGGCCACTTTGTCCGTAGCCGCCTCTGCAGCCCGAGTGGCCGCCAGATCCGCACCCGAAGGTGAGGCCCGGCAGCACAGGGCCCAGTCCAGGGAGCCCGCGGCCCCAACCACCTCCGAGCCGGCGGGCAGGTGACGGCCCACCACGTGCTGCAGGATGAGGTCGGGGATGACGTGGCGCATGTGGGGAGCCACCTCCCAAACCGCAGTCTCCGTGATCTTGCCATCCTGCCACCTGTAGGGATTGCGGCGGCGAAGGAGTGTGCACGACACAACATGCTGTCTAAAAACAGTGGAGATTTGGTACAATTGAAAAAAATAATAACAACTAAGCTAGGAGACACGAGCCTAGGATGCCGGTAAGCAGTCACTAGACCTACACTCTACACAAGAGTGAAACAGAAACATGTCCGATGTCCGAGTTCGATTCGAAAAGCCCAGCAACTGCACTAGGAAGCAGCATAGCATGATAAGAATCAACAGCCCAATTCACTCACCGTCGAAGCTCAGCCTTCTCGCCCCAGAATTTTCGAAAGCGGCCCGCCGCCGGGCCGTCATCCGCCGCTGGCCCCACATCCACAAGCCGGCACGCCGCCAGCGGATCCATGATCGCTCCCAACCACACGGACGACGGAGCCGCCGCACATGTGGATAATGATCTGGCGCCTCGAGTCCCACCGCCGTCTTCCTGGTCGTGGTCGTCCTCGTCGTCGCCGTCTTCCTCAGCGCCACGAGGATCCGCTTCCGTCGGAGATACTACCAGGCCGCGGGCCAGGAGGACATCCGGAGATGAAGCGGAATCGAAGGGCCATCGAAGAACACGTACGACCTTGGCTCGGTCCGTTAAGGCTTGTCGTACAATCTGCTCAATCTGAACCACCTGCTCCCTGAGCCGATCACGGGGGGAGGGAGCGGGAGAGAAAGAAAGAGAATGTGCGGACGTGAGGAATTTCACGGGTAAAGCTCTTCAGAAATGCAGGGGCTTCAAGCCAACACTACTACGTACTCCGTGATATCACTCACATCTATACAGATCTATATATATACTCGCATCTAAACACACAGCAAAGAAACGACCGGCAGCATATGCCACTTCTTCAATATCGAATGCCACCCGACCAGGCGACAATTTCAGCAGTGAACGCAGAGACTGGCGCATAGACCCCTCAGACATTAAGCGGAAAAGAAACCCCCATGTATGGGTCGGCTGCATAATACTAATCATCGGGATCGTCTGCTCAACAGGTTTTACTTAGGGTTTACCAGATGGCCCGGAAGGGGGGGAAAGACCACAAATCAGGCAATAAGCCAATAGGACAAGTAGACAAGCAGCTGACCATGAGCAGGTCTCTGATTCGATATTACGACAAAGCCTTATCCCTAACAGGATAACCGATAACCCAGGAAATTATGCCTCCCCTTTGTTTGGTTGGTTCAGCTCCTACAACAATTCATCTCATACCACCCTCCCTGTACAGATACACGCCACACCGTGCAGTGCGGACATAACCCCCCTCACCAGCTTGTTTCGTTCCGCCAAAAGGAGAATCAGCATCGCCAATATGCAGCCGTCCAAACAACCACCAGCAGCTGCTCCGAAACCCCCTGTGGCCGGAGAAGAGCATGCTGCTGCTGTCGCTGTTGGTTTCGGAGCAGCTGGATCCCCTAGGGCAGTGCTACCGGTGGACATGGGACCGTGTTGCCGGGCCCAGACCTTGAGCAACAGCAAACCGTCCAGCAACCGTGGAGATGCCGACAAAACCGACTGCAGTACAGAAATTGGGTGCGAATAAACAGTATGTATGCGGTAGAGAAGCTGAGAAGGAATAGTATTATGATTAGATTTTATTGGACACTTGCGCAATGTAAAGCATTGAAAAAAACGAAAAAACGAGGAGGATAAACATGAACAGCGAGGGCCAAGGACATCGTGGTTCTGCAAATCGTGTAAATACCAAGGAAAGGCAGGAAGGCAAAGGGGCAAGACGTCCGGAGGAAGGTGGTATTTTACCCACGGACAAGAGCCCCACAGCATTCCCCTGCAGCATAATGACATACCTTGAGCCTGGCGGCATGGACTGGCAGCAGCATATCCTCCAAGATAGCCGCGTTGTAGTGCGGTGTTGGCAGTAGCAGCTGCTGCTGCTGCTCTTGCTGTTGACAGGCCGCAGTCCCTGCTACAACCTCAGCAGCGACCTCCTTTCCAGGCTTGCAGGCTCTGCAATGCGCCCGAACGCCGTTTCGGTCTGGAGCGAGACGCGGCAACGCAAACGTCGATGTCGCAATCGATGGCAGTAGCCGCAGACTAAAACCCTCGGCCTTGGGCGGCTAGCCGCAACACCGGCCGCGTAGGGTCCCCGTGAAGCGCCTCCAACCGCTGCTCGGCAAATAGGCTTTAGCTCACATCGCGAAGGTGGCGCACCACGGCCATGAGGTAAACGGCGCGGATGACGTGGTAGCGATGGTTTAGATGGGCCTTGGGCGCCAATAAATCCGCGGGTAGTTGTACGGCAATATCAACCGTTGTTTCAGGTCGGGCGACGGCCTTTGCAGCATAGCTGCCCACGACGGTGACGGCGGAGGGAGGTTTGACGGTCAGACTGTCCTGATGGACAGCGAAGGCAACGAGACATGCGAGGTGAGATAGGTGCCAGGAAGATTTGACGAGTTACAGGAAAGGAGGACTAGGTATGAGTGTTGATCACTCAACATCATCTACGCAAATGAACCGCGTGCACGCTCACATGCATAAGTTCGTGTTAGGAACGCGCGGGTAAGGCCATGAATTTACCCAGCAAAAGATGTGGATCCAACAGTAGTGGGACTCTAGGCGGGAAGGACAAACACGGAAGCGCGGCTGCTCATGTAACTTATTATTACCTTGGAGTTTCCTCCGAGCGCCTCAACGAAGCCCTTGGCAATGCTCACGGGAACCTGGAGGCAATTACATGCGCCGGATGAGGCAGGGTGTTCGTATTGTACAAGGGAGCAGAAGGACAATACCCCTGAATCATTTATAGAACGGAACGCGCAGCACGACACCTCAGCTTCATGCCTAGAAACATGCGCAAGCCACGTGCTCCTTTCAATACACGGCGTGTCGCTAGGAGGCTTGGTTGGTTAGCTGCGGGATAGAGGTATAGAGAAAAGCAAGCGCGTTGGATTTTCACGGCAGCCTGCGCGTACACGGACCTGGTGTTCGGGTATGGACATGAGCGCCTCCTTGAGCCTCAAGGCCGCGTCACAGAACTGCAAGAATACGGCCCGCCTGCAGGGCCGAATGCACTGCAATATTATAGAATTATAAACCCTTCAAAATCATTCAAACAGATTTCCAAAATACGACACCATCATGGAAATCGCCTCCTCCTAGTAATAGGCAAATAGGGCCGGTCATCCGTGAACAGCACCTAACGAGCGAAGACCAAATAAACAAGCGGTCAAACGTCAGAGCAATCGACAAGAACCACCGACGCTCAACGTGCAAGTAGCTTAGTTGTTAAAACTGATATACCGTTGCTTGGTTTATTTAAGAACGGCGGCTTTAACTAATTTCTGGTTCCGAGGGCCCGATGAAAATTTGGAGCGCTCGGTCGGAAACTCCAAGCACGTGTCCGATACCTGGCAACATCGAACCATATTCATATTTGATGGCATAAAAGCCATCCTTAGCACTAGGAGCCAAGCCATATGCAATGACAACCCCGGTCTATATGTTGCTTGCATTCCTCGCAGCCGGCCTCGCACAGCTAACACAAGCTCGTGACAACTGCTATGGTCCTATCGTGGAATTGAAAATCTTTGCTATGCCGAGCAACCCGCAAGCGGAGGTGGTCAATTATGGGGTCCTGGCAGGCGTCGGTTCCAATCTCAGCCAGGCCATTACCGGTCTGCGCCTTGTGGTCGCGGAGCCCCTCACCGCTTGCGGAGTGGTGGCGCCAGTGGCTGCAGGTGTGCGACACCACCACCAGCCCAGCACGTCCAGGCCATGCGGGTCCCAACCCTCCGGGGGGGGGAGGGGTTTCAACCCGTTATGCGCGGCAGCGCCCCTTTGATAAAATCCAGATCCACTCACCCAATTCCAACCCCATATCCACCACACAACTCCATAGGAACGCACCTTCCCCTTCAGGAAAAACCCGAAAACGGAAAATCCAAATCACAAGGAAAGCATCATGTACATTTTCAATGTAATCCTAATGCCTTAAATCCCCCTTTTTCCTCGCTTGTCACTAGATCGACCACCAGAAGGCTCCCCCACCTGCCTTCGGAGTGGACTTCTTCCTCCCCCCCCCCCGGCCAGCATGAACGGAAAACCCCTAACTTCCCCGGAACTTCTGTGTTTTATGTACGTGTCTTTACGGATTATGTTTCGGGCCGTATCCTGGCATCTTATCCCGCAGTGCGCGCATCATCACCCCTCAAACACAGCCTGCCTCGACCCCTCTTCGTTCAACCCCTTCTCCCCCGCCCGGGGGTCCTTCGCCCCCCCGGGGACCCATCCTGATTCCCACAGCGCTGCTTCTCCCCACCTTAATATATGCCCAACCTCACCACCACCACCACCACCCACACAACACACACACACCTGCCGTGCGACTCGGCTCCCCTTGCGGTTCTTCCCCCTCCTCTACTCCTCCTCCTCGCCCCCGACAGTCTGCCTATTTACCCCCTCTGGATGCCGGAAATGCCTTGGGAAGGCTTTTTGTTGCAGTTTGTTGCACATCCAGGAGCCCTCCAAGCCCTCGAAGAGCCGCGCTTGAGGGGAATCCCGAGGGGATGGACGCGCTGCTGCTGCTGCTCCTCTTCCTCCTCACCACACCTCATCTCACCACATGACCGCCTCGGTTGGGCAGTTCATTCTTTGCATTTGCATCACACGTACGGCGCCATCCTCCCTCCCCTCCCATTCCATCCCTCCGTTCACCTGTCGATCTGTCGTCCATACACCTGCGGTGCCTCCCCCCTTTCCGCCCCCTCCCCTCGTCCCAGGCTCGGCAATGCTCGTCATCCGCGGCAACTGCACCTTTACGGAAAAAGCGCGTGCAGTACAAGCCGCCGGCGCCGCTGCCATGCTTCTGTACGACAACGAGCCTGGCTGCGTCACCATGGCTTTCGAGGACACTGCCGTCACCGCCATCTCCCCCTCGCTCGCCGTCGTCAGCATACCCCAGGACACGGGCCTGACGTTGACGGGCATGCTGGCGGAGGCGGCTGGCGGAGGCGGAGGCGGCGGCAGCGGCGGTGTGACGCTGTCGCTCCGTCGGAAGGATGTGCCCTTGGTGGATGGCGGCGCAGCGCTGCTGTGGCTGTTGGCGGTTGGTACGGTGGCGGAGGGAGCTGTGTGGAGCGGTCTGGACCACCTAGCGGCCGGAAGGGCGGTGGCGGCGGCGGCGGAGCAGGTAAGAGAGGACGGCGGCGGCAGCGCCACTGCCGACAGTGGCATTGGTTACGGAGGGTGGGTATCTATACCTTTGGGGGGGGCCAGGGCAAGGAGCATGAAGTGGTGGCGGTGGCGGTGGAGAGGAGCCGATGGGAGGATGCGAGGGCAGAGCCGTCCGTGGGTGGGCGGCCATCTTACCTTCAGAGGTGCTTGGTTGGAATGGATGCGCCCGGAGGGTATTGAACCGGGTACTCCTTGAACCTGGATAGATGCATGTTGGACATTGGCAACTTTTGGTTTTTGGATGTTGCATTTTGCATGTCGTGGATATAATTCCACTACTCCCCCAGGCGCTCACGCCGAAGAAGCACGCCGACACGCACACGCATACGCACGCACACGCATACACATACACACACATCAGCACGTCCGTAATGCGTGTCATCATTGTTTTCTCCCCACCACCGCCGAAGCCGCCATTCCTCTCCACCCCTTGCCTGGCCCACTGCTTCCCTCCCCTGCACATCCCCTCATCGCCCCTCACCGCTCTCCCTTCAACACGCTCAACACCCTCGCCGGCCCTCACCGCCCTCCCCACCACCGCACAGGACCCCCTCCTCCCCGCGGCCTCCAAGTCGCCCCCCGGTACAGAGACCTCCCTTGACCTCACCCCCCGGGCCGCCCTGTGGTTCGTGGTGGTGGCCTCGGCCATGTTGCTGCTGCTCTACTTCCTGCTTAACAGGGTGTTCTTTTTCGTGCTGGTACGCAGGGGGGGGCAGGGGCGGGAGGGTGAGGGTAGAGGGAGGCCCCGGGGGGGATGGGATGGGACCTGGCGGGATGGCGGGTGTCTCACTGGCTGGGGGGATATCTGGATGGGTGGATGTATGTGTATGTATGCATGTATGCCTGTGTATGATCAGATAGGAGAGGGTTTTTTTAAGTAGTTTTCTTTTAAAGGAGCTCACACGAACCACACAGGATCAGCAGCTTTTCTGCAAATGGAAAGGGAATCCATAAATGTGTTGTTGGTTGCTCCGTCGTATATGTCTCATCATCTAACCGGAGCCGACGGCTCTCCAACGAACTAACTACCTCCAACCTGCATTAACTAACCAACTAACTCATTCAACCCTGGGCCCGTTTCCCATCCGCTTCCACGACCTTTTCCCCTCTCCCGCCTCTGGAAACCCCCACCCGCCCACCTTTACCCCCCCTCGCCGTGCAGCTGGGCCTTTTCTGCATTGCTTCCGTACAAGCCCAGACGGTGCTGTACTCGGCGGGGCTGCAGGCCGGGCTGAAACTGATCACCAAATCCCGGAGAGGGGGGTCCACCGAGGCGGTAAGAAGGGGCGGGCCGGGTGGGTGTCGGGGTGCGGAAGAAAAAAGAGTTTTTGACGTCCACTTCGAGTTTACCTGCGTCAGAAAAGCAGTGAGATAGCTAACACCTCTGCTGCTGCTGCTGCTGCTACGGGCGAAACTGCCGCGATTGTAGCCGCGATTGTAGCCGCGCCGTGGTAAGGTGCGGATGACCTTTCCCATGATTGCACGGGTTGTGGGGCGGTATTACTACGCCAGATGGGTGGGTGGCCCGAACCCCCCGTGTGTGTGGGGGGCCCGGGGGGAGGTGACCCGGGGGGGCCCTCTTCAGGTGAAGGGTAACGGCAGAGCCCGGACGCCAGTGACGCGGAGTGGGCGGTGAGGAGGGAGAGAGCGAGCCGACAGGAGGGAAGGGAGGAGCAGCGCGGTGGGCGGGGGAGAGGGTGGAGGGAGGGAGGGCCCCGCCGGGCCGGTGGAACAACCGGCCCCAACCAGGGGAACGACGTCTATGCCCTTGGGAACTGCCAAACCAACCAAACTATCCACCCACCCAATCTGCTTTACAGGTGACTTCCCTCATTGAAGATTGTTATTAGTAGATAGTCCTTTCCCAAATCCCCAATCCGCCCCCTGGATATCTCAATGTTATACTTTCCTGCCCAGATGCCGCCGCTGGGGGGGGGTCCCAGCCCGCTGGTGACTGTGGTGGCGCTGACCGTGGCGGTGGCGGTGGCGGCGGTGTGGGCCGTACAGCGCAACACCGACTGGGCCTGGGTGCTACAAGACCTGCAGGGTGTGGCCCTGATGCTGCTGGTGCTCAGGAGCCTCAGGGTACCCAGCATAAAAGTGGCGGCGGTGCTGCTGCCGGCGTGCCTGCTGTACGATGTGTTTTGGGTGTTCGTACAGCCCCTGCTGTTTGGCGGCGGCGAGAGCGTCATGGTGGAGGTGCGGTCTGGGGGGGCCGGCGATGTGGGATGGCGTGTTAGGGTTCTGAAAGGAGTGGGCTGTTATACACACATACATCCCCGACATACATACATACATACATACATACATACATACATACATACATACATACATACATACATACATACATACATACATACATACATACATACATACATACACGTACGCACGCTTGGCTCTACAAGCTGTAAGACCCTTGAGGATGTACCCCTGCGGTGGTCCCCCCCCCAACTCCCAACTCACAGGTAGCGCAAGGCGGTAGCAGTGGAGAGTTCGTGCCCATGCTACTGCGGGTGCCACACTTTGGCTTCAGCGGCCTAGGGGGTTACTCGCTCCTAGGGTTTGGTGACGTCATCCTGCCGGGCATGCTCGTCGCGTACACACGCCGGGTTGACCTGGACCTGAGACTCTCCGCCTTCAGCCTGCGCGGCCCTGCGTCGTACTTGTATCGGTCGTACTTTCCGTACACCATACTGTCGTACGGCGCGGGGTTGTGTTTGACCTACGCGGCGCTGGCGTACAGCTGGTTCGGCGACCAGGGCCAGCCGGCGTTGCTGTACTTGGTGCCGTGCACGCTGCTGACGGTGGTGGGGCTGGCGGCGGCGCGGCGGCAGCTGTCGATGCTGTGGAACGGAGCGACCCATGGGTCTGCGTTCCGACGAGTGGCGACGGACCACGAGTCGGATCCCGGTGATGCCGGACCGCCGTCACCACCAGTGGCGGTGACGTCGGCGGCGGCGGCGGCGCGGAGCGGCGCGGGAGCGGAGGATGGCATTGGCGATGCGGAAGCGGGGTTTGGGAAGCCGGGCGGGGTCGGCACGAGGGAAGGGGAGCCCGGCGCGGGTTGGGGTTTGTTGGGGTTGCGATTTGGCGGCGGCGGAAAGGGAACCAGGCAAGGGGACGTGGACGGGCATGGCGCCGGTGGAGGAGCAGGTGGTGGTGCAGCCAGTGGCCTAGGGCCCGGGGGTGCGGCGGAGCGGGCCCGGTTGCTGCAGTAGCAGGGTTATCAGTACGACATAGCAATAGTACGACATAGCAATAGTACAACGCGGCAGCAGCTGTAGTGGCGAATGCAGGAGAAGCAGCAGTAGCAGCAATTC